GAGCCAGCGCGTGCTCGCTGGGTCACGCTGAGTGACAGCTCGCCCGCCCGTGTGACGTCACTGACCTGCAGCCCACCCCGGGCCGGCGAGCAGCGCGTGCTCGCTGGTCACGCTGAGTGACAGCTCGCCCGGCCGTGTGACGTCACTGACCTACAGCCCACCCGGGCCGGCGAGCCAGCGCGTGCTCACTGGGTCACGGTGAGTGACAGCTCGCCCGGCCGTGTGACGTCACTGACCTACAGCCCACCCGGGCCGGCGAGCCAGCGCGTGCTCACTGGGTCACGCTGAGTGACAGCTCGCCCGGCCGTGTGACGTCACTGACCTACAGCCCACCCGGGCCGGCGAGCCAGCGCGTGCTCACTGGGTCACGCTGAGTGACAGCTCGCCGGCCCGGGATGGCGCGTTCTGACGGACGCCGCGCTCTGGACACTCCCAGGACTCAGAGACCGGCGGCCCGGATACACCCTGCATAGCCTCTGTGTGCCGCCACCGCCGCCAGGCACCGGCAGGCTGCTGGACATGCCGGAACTCCCATCAAGGCCTGTCCGGCCCTTCCCGGGAGACCCCAGCCTGCAGTGACCCCCCTGAAGCACAGCTGCACAGTCTCCTCAGGGGACCCCTGGCCGCCTCCCGCAGGGCCGCACACCAAGCACCGCTTGTCTGCTCCACTTGTGTGTAACTGGCGCATCCGCCTCGCAAACCAGGGCACCGGTCACCACGCGGGGTTGGGTGAAGGGGGCACGAGGCTGGCCGTCCTCCTGGCAGTGACAAGGGTAATCGGGTTTTCTCGGAGGCCAGGCACCCAACCAATGCAGCCCGGCTCTCCAGAGAAAACCAGCGCCCTCTTTAACTGCAGCCCACGCAAGGCCACGAAGCCGCTCCCGAACGCCTTTGCCCCACTTCCGGTTCTGCTTCCCCTTCTTCCGCTACGGGCGGCGTGGGAGGCGGGGCTATGTGAGAATGGCGGGGAAGTGCCGGGCGGGGCCTCGTCTCCGGACGGAAGCTCGAGGTTCGGAGGCCTTTTCCGGCGCGTGACGGAAACTACAGCCCCCAGAATCCTCCGCGGTCTCGCGAGCGGCCTGTCTCGTCGCGAGAAGCGGCGGCTAGGGGCGTCTGCGCGGACAAACGGAAGTCTAGGTGACGGTCTGAGACATCGCCGCCAAGCTGGGAACCGGGGAGATGGCCGAGACTGACCCCAAGACGGTGCAGGACCTCACCTCAGTGGTAAGCGACAGCCCCGAGCACGCCCACTGCGGGGTCCTCAGAGGTGCGGCTTCCGGGGCTTCCCCGGCCCAGGCGCGGCCGCTTGGCCCCTGGTCGCCGGGTGTGGGCCCCGACCCCTCCGTGGCCCCTCACCTGCCCGAGACCTCCTGGCCGCGCCTCGCCCGCCCCGGGTGCCCCGGCGACGCTGCGTGGTGCGCGGCGGCGGGGGTGGGAGCAGCTTCGGGGCCGGAACCTGGACCCCGGGCCCGCGGCGGAGACAGGTGTGGACCCGGGACAGGTGTGGACGCGGCTTGTTCGTTCGTGCTGTTTTTTTAGGTGCAGACGCTCCTGCAGCAGATGCAAGACAAATTCCAGACCATGTCCGACCAGATCATCGGGAGAAATATCCTTGTCCCGGGGCGGGCGGGTGCGTCCGGTGCGCCGGCCTTAGCCGCAGGCCGAGCTCGCGGGCCGGTGCAGGAGCAGAGGGCCGGCGGCGCCAGAGTGGCGGCCCTGGCTGTCCCCGGGAGAGCCGCGCTCTGCCCTCCCCTCGCCGGGGAACAGGTGTGTGTGTGGCGAGTGAGGAAACGAGGCTTAGGGAGGCAGGGGTCTCCGGGAGGCGGGGGACCCCCGGGAAGCTGCGGCGACGTGCGCGGGTCTGCGGCCGTCTGCGTGCTCCTTAGCTCGGCCACTCGATGACATGAGCAGCCGCATCGACGACCTGGAGAAGAACATCGCGGACCTCATGACGCAGGCTGGAGTGGAGGAGCCGGAGGGGGAGAGCAAGACGCCCGCCCCGCAGAAGAGCTGAGGTGAGCACGCGGGCCCGGGGGGCCTGAGCCCCGGTGCAGACCAGTGGTCAGCGGTGACCCTGGCCCGCCCCCACCCCCCACCCCCGTGGACTCCAGGTCCCGACGGTGTCCGTGGCAAACACTGGCCGGCGTGGGCTCCCACGGAGTTCACATCATCAACATGGGCCAGCGCGGGCTTCCCACGGAGTTCACGCCATCAACACGGGCCGACGTGGGCTCCCACGGAGTTCACGCCATCAACACGGGCTAGCGTGGGCTCCCACGGAGTTCACGCCATCAACACGGGCTAGCGTGGGCTCCCACGGAGTTCACGTCATCAACACGGGCCGGCGTGGGCTTCCCACGGAGTTCACGCCATCAACACGGGCCGACGTGGGCTCCCACGGAGTTCACGCCATCAACACGGGCTAGCGTGGGCTCCCACGGAGTTCACGCCATCAACACGGGCTAGCGTGGGCTCCCACGGAGTTCACGTCATCAACACGGGCCGGCGTGGGCTCCCACGGAGTTCATGCCATCAACACGGGCCAGCGTGGGCTCCCACGGAGTTCACGCCATCAACACGGGCCAGCGTGGGCTCCCACGGAGTTCACGCCATCAACACGGGCTATCGTGGGCTCCCACGGAGTTCACGCCATCAACATGGGCCAGTGTGGGCTCCCACAGAGTTCACGCCATCAACACGGGCCAGTGTGGACTCCCATGGAGTTCACGTCATCAACACGGGCCGGCGTGGGCTCCCACGGAGTTCACACCATCAACACGGGCCAGTGTGGACTCCCATGGAGTTCACGTCATCAACACGGGCCGGCGTGGGCTCCCACGGAGTTCACGTCATCAACACGGGCCGGCGTGGGCTCCCACGGAGTTCACGCCATCAACACGGGCCGGCATGGGCTCCCACGGAGTTCACGCCATCAACACGGGCCAGTGTGGGCTCCCATGGAGTTCACGTCATCAACACGGGCCAGTGTGGGCTCCCACAGAGTTCACGCCATCAACACGGGCCGGCATGGGCTCCCACGGAGTTCACGTCATCCCACCAGTAACCACGGTGATTTCCTTACCCTGAGAAACCCTTATCACTGTGAGATTTTTCACTGGTTGGTGGACTTTTTTGGGGGGGTGTGGGAGTCCAGATGATGTGAGCCACTCGTGGGACCGCCAGGGGCTGTCTTGGGAGCTGGGCCATGCGCAGCTGGAGTGCGGCCACCCTAGGCCTGTGCCACAGCCGCCGGTGGTGGCGGCCCTGATACACCCCGGAAGTCAGCTCGCTCTTCTCTCGTCCCACTGGCACCATTTTAATTCCCTGTAAAAACTGAATTTTGAGGTGGCCAACTACGAAGCACTGTGTTCAGGGAGAGAGACCTGATTCCCTTCTCAATCCCTGGGCTGCCCGAAGCAAGTCTTAAGGGACTCTGAAGTCGAGGTGGCTCCGAAGTCCAGGGGGACACCGAGGCTGGTACTGAAGTCTCCGGTCGGCTTTGAGACGTGGCTTGGGTCGGCTCCTTCCCTGAGTGACTCGCAGAACTGCTTCTGTTACGTTCTGTCACCTGTTGATTTTCTGGAGATAATTTGAAAAATATCTTGGTAGCTCTAGAAGTTCCTCTGGGTCTCTACGTATCATGTGGCAGTCAGAAATCCTAATAATAAGGGGCCGGTTCTGTGGCACCCACCGTCTACAGTGCCAGCATCTCATATGGGCACTGGTTCAAGTCCCGGCTGCTCCACTTCGATCCAGCTCTCTGCTATGGCCTGGGAAAGCAGTAGAAGATGCCCAAGTCCCTGGGCCCCTGCACCCATGTGGGAGACCTGGAAGAAGCTCCTGGCTCCTGGCTCTGGATCAGCCCAACTCCGACTGTTGGGGCCACCTGGGGAGTGAACCAGCAGATGGAAGACCTGTTTCTCTGTCTCTGCCTTTCTCTGTAACACTGCCTCTCAAATAAATCTTTTTTTTTTTTTTTAAAGATTTTATTTGAGAG